CAAATGTCAGATTACTTTTTTAAGTGATCTTATATCCAGTCTAGTGTAAAATGTCCCAAAGACTTGGGCTTCCACTTTTTATCAATAAATTCTCAACACCTTACATTCTTCCACCACTCCTAAAATTGTCCTCAGGTCTTATCAAGTCATGGCACAATGATCTCTTTGAATAGTTGCCTACCCACACACAAGCAAGAGCCAGCTCCCTAAACTGAGGCTCAAGAAGGCATTTCCTGCCAGTGCACTTCATCAAGCTTCTCAAGCAAGTTTGTGAAGGAGTACTGAAGCAGCATGCTTAAAATGTAAGCAGGCTCAAATCTTTCTAATCAAACTCAGATCAAATCTGACTGGAGTCTTTTAGTCCTATGTCAGGTTTCTTGACCTCCATGTATTCTTTTCCCCAGGCTTTTATTTTCTTCACCACACCATAACTTATCTTAAATTTTTGTGTCTGCTGCTGCTGAATTTAGCTCTTAAGAATTACAGCTCTTAACTACAGCCTGCTTTTGCCTGGCTATGGTCCAATGATTGACTCAAGCATCCAGGTAAAAAGCCTGGGCAGGGCTAGACTGAAGGACAAACATTTCAGTTCCATGGACATGACACCAATATCCAAAGTCACTTGTTTGCTACAGAGTCTCAGCTTTCACTTAGGAAAAGAGAAAGCTTGAAAATTTTCCCAATGAAGTTGTAGATGCCCCATCCCTGGAAGTGTTCAAGACCAGGTTGGACCAGGCTTTGAGAACGTGGTCTGGTGGAAAGTGTCCCTGCCCATGACAGGGGGTTGGAACTAGATCATCTTTAAGTCCCTTCTAACCCAATCCATTCTTTGATTCTATAAGAAGCTGAGCTTCTTACAAACTAACATGTCTGATTGTTCTATTGGCTTCATCGAGTCCATGGCTAAGGGAGAGCAGTTCGGGCTGCCAGTGCCCAGAGGAGAGCTAATCTGACATTCCAACAAGGAGCAGACCCCAAGCTGGGAAGGCAGAGACCACTGGTGCAGCAGGACTGAAGAATCTCTCAGAAGCAACCTAACCATACAGAGTTCAATATATTAGAAGGAACACAGAATTCAAAATGAGACAGAAAATTCTTGTTTGAAAAGCATACAGACACACAGGTCCAAACAGACACTGCCATCAGCCACAGAAGACTCAGCACTCGTAACTTGGTTTTGGGGATCACTGCTTGTACCCATGGATGCAGAACCCTCTAATCCATTTAAGAGCAGGGCCAGTGAAGTGTTTTACAGCCCATGACTTGTGTTCCTTGAAGGCAGAGGATGTGAAAGTCAAAGATGTCTAGATTCACCAGCACTTAAAGCAAAGAAAACCTCCTTTCCCCTACTTCCTTTTCATCAGGAAAGTAATGTTTCACGGTCCCTCAAAACACAGACCAACTACACAGCTTCATCATTGCACACTTCTCACTTATTTTTGTCTTAAATACAAGACAGCCACAAAAACACTGGCTTCAAGAAAGACTCAGAAATACTGGTCAAGCTGACAGAACTCAAGAGCAGAGTGGAAAACTCAAACAGCCTGAATAGGAGATCCCCCTCCAGCTGTGGTCCCTCCCTGTGACTCAATTTCTTGTGCAGCAAAAAGGAGACAGCTGCTTTAAGCCACCAGGCAGCATTGCCTTACGGTTAGGGACAGAGCATGAAGCTTAGCACTTGTTAGGTAAGAAGGAAAGATTACAGTTTGTATTTTTAGACCTCACCCTTTCAAAATAAATAATCATTTTTCTCAACAGTTCATGGTGCAGCTTGCACCTATAAACAGCACTGCACCTGAGCCAACCCACAGGGTTTGTTTCTTACTGTATCTGTGCTTAGGAGCTGACTCCCTGTAAAACTCATTAATAAAGTACTTAGAAGTCACAGAACATGCAGACTGACAGCTGCTTACCACTGAGGGTCTGTAAATGATAGAGATCATGGCCTGAAGTGACAGATGTATAATGCAAGTGAGGTACAGGGAGACTGATCAGAGTCTCTGTTCTCCTTGTTCCTGGCTGCTAATGAATTCATCAGTGAATATCCTCAAGAAGGCAGCAGTAACCTGTTTGGCTGGCAGTCTCCACCACAGGTTTTCTAGAACAGTGATCAACACAAGAGTGAAATAACTGTGACAGGTAGATGTAGCCTTTATTTTACAAAACTTGAAACCAATCCAACCTCAGAAGTACATCATCACACCTCCTAGCTTTACCCTTGCTTTGAAAACGGTCCTCAAAACACCTGTGGCCTATCAATGCAACAACCACAATCCTTAAAACAAAACATTGCAATGTAAAAAATGGCACATGAAGACAAGAGTTTGAAGTAGGTCATTGTTCAAGGCAGCAGGACACTGCACCTGGGTGACTGACCTTGAAGGGTGGCTGACAAAGATGTGGGGGCCAAAGTGAGCCCTTGCTCTGAAGGTCCCGCCCTATCCAGGGAAGCAGAGAAAGTTCTCTGCAGCCTAGTATCTCTGTTTCTTTCTTTCCAAAACATGCAAACGACAGCTCTATTCCTTACATGTTTTCACCTCTTTTCTCTGCACTGTGTCAACAACTTGAAGAGCTCCCTATTGACCTTCTGACTCCAGGAGCCAGCTGCCAAGTGCAAACGCAGAGAGGGAATGCAGGAAATCACAAGTTATTGTGAACTCCAATTCCCTTACCACCTAGGAATCTTCCTGCACATTACTAGGGTGAAACTTACTGTGGCAATGGTTCGGCCCACACGAACAACTCCAAAATCACTGGGATCCAGGAACTTGTTTCCATACAGATAGATGCCAGAAGCAGCTGCTGTCAATGAGGCAAGTTTCAAGGCCCTCCGTGCCATCACCAATGAACCCTGAAGAGACACAAAATAGCAACTGTAACATCTAAGAGGTAGTGATCTGATGCCTATAGCCCCAAGGGACCTGATAAATCAAGTTTTAATTGTTCCTTTGCTAATGATGCATTGCTAGCACTGCTGCCAGTCAAGAGCTCAATCATGCAACAAGCAAATACAAGCTGCCCCGCTCTGGCTCCATTGCTGTTCTTAACAGTGTCTACAAGCCACAAACTCAGAAGTAACTCTCTGCACCTTGCATACCCACAACAAAACATTTGTTCATGCTCCCAAAGCCTTTACAAGTAGAAACGGGTGGACAGAAAGAAGGGAGCAAAATGAGCTCACCAAAAGTCAATAGGCAAATGCAAATGTTTGGACAATGTCAGTGTACACAGACTGCAAGGAGATAACAGAAAATATAAAAAAACAGGGTTTAAAAACAGCTCTTGTAACATCAAGAGCACCAAGAATGTGTTGGGAAGTCTGCCAGACTACTTGTGAAAGATCTGCACTACTGATGAGTGGTGGGTGAAGAGGCAATGCATCCCTGGAGGTTGTGGGTGACTCCAGCAGACAGCTGCATACAATGCAAGCAGATGGGGGACCTGATCAGAGGGACCAAGCAAGATTTGTTCTCTCATCATCACCACCCCACTTAAGTGCCAGGCAGGGACTGTACTAGTGGAAGGGACATCTGCAGGGATCAATAGCCTGATCCTGGCTCTGTCACAGGTCCAGCCCAGGCCTGGGGTGAGACACCTCTCCCTTCTCTCAACTTATTCATTGGGAGACAAAGCTGGGAAACAAACACATTTCCCACAGTAAACACTTTGGAGCACTGCATTCATTGCTTACAGTATATAAAGTAGTGTAAACATATAATTCATTACATCTGATACATATGTTATGATACTTTATGTCACTTCAGAGGATTCAGACCTGAAAAAAAAATTACAAGTTAGATACACCTTTCTTTTCTTTCGCTTTGGCTGGTACTGGATAGAAAACATGACTGACCATTCTTTATGCTTACATCACAAATCAAGAGCCATGGGTCACCTACTCTACAAGCACCTTTGACAGAGTGTAGGGTTTTACCCCATCACAATGGAGTCCACTAATCCTTGCACTTTTAGACTTGATTGAAAAACTCTCTGACTTCTCACTGTGAACTTTTAGCAGGGTCAGTCTAGCTCATGCCTTTTCTCTCAAAAGCCTTATAACAACAAAACACGTGCAGTGACATGAGCCAAACCTTTCAAAAACAGTTCACAAGAACACAATCAGCGAAATAGGCTAACAGAACACAGGAGACCTCTATATGTGAACCTCAAATTTTATTACTTCCTTTTACTTCCTTACAAGCCCTAGGTAACTTTGAGGCAGAAAAACTGAGATGTATCTATCAGAGCCCATCAGAGTTGCCTAGAGCACCCCAGTGCTTTCTCCTGTTAGAAGGGGTAGTTGGCTGATCAGGACTCCTCTGAAGCTACAATCAAACTCAAGAGAAAACATACCTGGCTCCTTGGATGCAGAACAATGAACACGCCCTTCCTACCCTCCTCATCCCCCACCCCCCCCCCCCAAAAAAAAAGCTGCCCTCTTCCCCCACTAAAATTCTAGAAATGTTAGGGCTTCCTCTCATAGGGCTGCTCTCCTTTGACCAGAAAGAAATCTCTGTTCTATCCTCTGTCACCTTCAAAAGGCATTTTCTGCAAGGTGTTTTAATTAAATCATTTCTGCTCCTAGTACGCTTTTGTAAAATTTCATTTATTGGAAAGTGAAAGGTGCAAACAGGGACATCTTTTAACACAGAAAATACACCTCACTCTTTCATTTTTTTTTCCTTCACTTTATTACTTCACATTCTAAAAGAACTTTCCTTCACTTCACATACTAAAAGAACATTTACTTGAAAGCAGAATGTAAGTCCATCTGTTCTTGCAACTTATTCCTACCTGAAGCTATAATCTGCAGGTCGTGACATCACATCTATTGCCATACCCACCAGCTGTACATCATGAACAGAAGACGGGAACTTTAAGTAGCAAATAAACAGGCAGAGCAGCAGAGCTCTTCACCAACAAAGTTCCTGCTTTCATGCTTAATGTGTTGTACCAATAAAAACGGAAGAATTTAAATCCCTCCAATATAAGGTACAGAAATGGAACTGTCAGAAATCAATTGTATTTTAAAGTTTTCCATAAGGTGTCGAGGACTCTTTTCCATATAAATGAGCCACTACAGCACCCCTAGGGGTATCAACCCGAGAGGCGCTATCAGCCGCGAAATACGGCCAGATGTCATTGCGTCTCGCTAGCCAGGCCTGCGCAGATCAGTCACCTCAAGCTCTTCTTTCACCTAGGTGAGCTAGCTCCTGTGGCTTCCACACAACTGCACACCCTCCCGCTTCCTCACAGCCGGGAGCCGTGCTTCCCCTATTCCCACTCGGGGCGGCCGGGACGGACCTTACGGGTCGCAGGACGGGAGGTTACGGGTGTTCTCCCGGAGGTGACCCCCTGGAGGCCCGCCGCCGCCACCAGCCCAGGCCCGTGCCCGGAGCACCGCGCTCTCCCGATGCCCGGGAGCGCCGGGGGGCGCTGACCACCACCGAGGTCTGCGGGCACCACGCACCCGGGGTCGCCGCATAGCCCCGGTGAGGCCGATCCGCCCTCCGCAGCCACCGCCGCAGCAGCAGCAGCGCGGCTCAAGGTCTACCCGTGAAGGACACGAGAGGCCGGCTCCGGACGCTTTCAGTACTCCTTCAGACGTGCCCCGCCGCGCCTCGCGGAGCGCGCCCGTGCCCCCCGCCACTCCCGCCTTCAGAAACAGCCCCGACCCCGCCGAGCCCTGCGGAGCCAAGGCCTCTGTCCCCGAGGCCTGCGACTGCGGTGGCCGACCGCCCCTGGGCCCGGAGCCCCCCGTCCGCCGGCACCAGCAGGGGCACAGAGGGGCCGAACCGAGCCGAGGTTCCCGAGGCCGCGGCAAGCGGTGGCAGGGCAGCGAGGCCCGAGTTCACCCCCTCCCGACCAGCCGCAGCCTCCACCACCGCGTGGACCCCTCCGCCGGCTCCCGCAGCCGGCACTTACCGCCGAGCCGGCACTTCAACTCCCGCGCGCCCAGCCGTCTGTTGCCCCCTCCGCCTCGCACATGGTACACCCTCTCCCGCGCGGCATGCTGGGAAATGTGGTCTCCGGCCACGGCCGCTGGGACGGCGGGGGCGCGGTGGGACTGCGAGGAGCGTCCCCTGGGTGAGCCCACAGGGAAGCGGCACCGGGGGGGACAGCCACAGCCAGGCGACGCTGCGCACCGGCGACCCCTTACAGGGCTGCGCGGGCCCCAGCTCCTAACGGGACGGAAGGAGGTGTAGGGGCAGCACTCCCAGTTCGGAGTGAAGCAAGGTGACATGGCATCTGCTCTGTCAGCGGGGCTCCCAGCCCTGCGCGGCTGCCGAAGAGACATCCTCACTCTTAGCAAACAATCCTAGGCTTTATGATATTTCAGTTGGTTTTCAGCGTTTTCTCAATGAAAGCCCTGCAGCAGGGAGAAGGTATATATATATATATATATATATATGTATGTGTACATGTGTACATCTATCAGAAATCATGAGGGAAAGCAGAAATGCCAAACGGGACATCAGAGCACTCTTTTTCTAGACCTGTGAGAGCTGCCAGAGGGGCACTGACGCTTTACCAACTAGAAGTCAGAGCTGCTCTTTAGTGAAAGGTGTGGATTTGACCAAGGCACTATGAACACTTGGTGAGCCTGGCTACTGCAGCACATGAGGATTCCATGTGAGCACTATCACCTATGCCACCGTAGCACATGGGCTGGCAATGCCAAGTCTGCACCCTGTGCTAATGGAGTGCCCTGACTACTGGGCTTCTGGCAGCAGAGCTGAACACCTGCCCTGCTCCGGCTGAACATGGAACAATGTTGTCCATCATGTGGTCAGATCCTCAAGCAACGTAAACTGATAGCGTAAACTGTGCAGCTATACTCAGCTTTTATCATTTGGTGAAATGCACACATGGCTCCTTAGTATCAGCTTGTATTTAAGGGAATAATTCCAAGAACTGGTGTTCTCCATCCAAGAGAATGATCCAGTAAAACAGCTGTGTTCATCAAGAATAAAAGAGCTGCTGGTAACAAGGAAAAGTAATTGCAGAATGGAAGAAAGCTCTCTCTGCAGCTAACCTCTAGCTCCTTACAATAAGCAGTGAAAATGATAATAAATGTTATCATATTCAAGGTTCGATGCAAACCTAATCTTCTCCCCAAAGTCTACTCTTTTATTACATTAAAAGAGAAAGAATAAAGCAGAGAATGAAAAAAATGTTGCTGGATCATCATAAATATTGTAAGAGATTCATATTCCCTGGAGCAAGTACCTAGCTTGATAGTCACCCCCTTGAAACTTAGTATTTCTGATTGAATTTCTCTCCCATTGTGAAAAGAAGGAAACTCAATGTTATTTCCAGCCTTTCGGTATCTTCCTGCTAAGGAGAACCTGCAGTTCAATAACCTGCAAGCCCATAGTAGGAAATTGGATGTATATGGGACAGAGTTTAGGACACCATTACCACCATTAATCCTTAATACTTTAAAAGGATGCCAAAAACCAAACCCAGAATGAGACCAAAAGGATCTTAATAATTCTTTGAGAATTACTGTTTCCAGCAGGACTCTGGAAACACTGAAAAATACAGGAAAGCATCAACACACTGCATTTCCATTAGTATTTGTAGGGATACAGCTGCACCCAAAAAGGTAGAGATGGGGGAAAAGGATTGAAAAACATTTGAAGGAAAAGGTCTCAGCTTCTAGAAGTAATAAACCAGGATGTTGTGCTCAGGGCAAGGTCCTGATGACCATCTGGGATGAACAGGTTTTTCATCCAAGCCCCTGCAAAGTGCTGTAAAGGTAACCTGTCCAGCTTCTCCCCAGATGTGGGACAATGGCATATTAAAGATTTTCCTAAATGATCAACATAATATTGGGAATTTTTGCTGAGTTCCCTTTTTGTTTCCATCTGGCTTCACTCCACTTCTGTTTTCCCTAATTGTCTCCTCCAGCAGACATGAACATAAATGCCTGCACAATGTGGGCTTCTTGCTGAATATTATCTAAGGAACAAAGCAGCTACAAATTATGAAGGGCAGCATTAAGGGTAATTAACCTGCCAGCATGCTGAAGATACAGGGCCCACACAGCCAATTGCTGCATCAGCCATATGATAGCAAAACTGTCTACAATCCTGTAAGTTTCCTTCCTTTCTTGGACAGCTGGGAGCTTTTGAACTGCTTGAGGGCTAGTGAAGCATCCCAGCTTAGTCTTGGAACATTACAAATTGTGTAGGAAAGACTATTTGTTGGAAGGAAGCTTTAGAGTTTAGAGGGTGATGTTAAATGAGGAAGAAACCAGAAAGTCAGGAAGACATGCATGTGATGTACTACTGAGAAAATGAAAGTAATGAGTGCAGGATGAACACGAAGTAACCACTGTGAATCACAGAATAAAAGCGTAGAAATAGGGGCAAAAGATCAATCGCTCCTGTATCTACTACACCCTGTGGAAGTTTTGCTATAGATCTTTGCATCTGCACATTCACAACCCCCCTGGCTCAGGCTGGTACTGGGCATAATAGCAGGACATCCATTCAAAGCTACTGTGCTACTGCATATAAAATTCCAAAATAGAGACTGTAACCTCAACACAACCACTGATTTCTGCTCACAGTTCACTGCTTCTACCCAGGATGCTTAAGATTGTGGCCCAGGCTATCAATCCCCTGCTTTAACCGCTAGATCACGCATGCTGGCAAAGCTCCCAGCAAAGGCAGCAGGTCAGTATCTGATTTTTGCTGGCCTCTTCTGGAAAAGCCATGGGAGGTTGCTTCAGATTAATTCTGTTCCTTGCAGCTCTTAGTTAAACAGGCTGATGCTGGGTTGACTGCACAGAAGCAGGGGGAAAGAGGCTTTTGTAGTATAACAATGCTGTGTGCTGATGTGCAGTGGGCAATTATGTAACCAATGCTAAATCTTTCTATAATTAGAACAAGCACCTAGTTAGAGTGATCAGAGCTCTTTTGTGTGAGCCTGCACGGGGTACAAAAAAAAGAGCTTGGCTAGAAAGAAAGATGCTGGCTTGATTTCCCTTTCCCTTTCAACTGATGAATAAATTAAATCTCAGATTACCCCAAATTGCTGTGAAAGACTAAAAACAAAAAGCACTTCCTTTTCATTCTTGTTGAAGACATTTGCATCCCAGGTGTGAAACTCATGAAATGCAGAAACAAACCCAAAGACTCAGGCCTCTGTCCCAAGCACCGGAGCAGGAGGACCAGCCAGACTGCCTGAAGAGAGGGTCAGCATCAGCCTTTTTTACTGAAAATGAACCTCTTTTTTGGATTTGCTTTGATGAAGAATATGACAAGATATCTAGAAGGTCTCATTTATACCAGACATTCCTCACATACAGGAGAAGACACAGGAAAAGAGATCAAAACAGTCCCAGAAAGGTGATCCTACAATTCTGTGGACTAAGAGAACCAGCTTAAGGAAACATGAAAAGGTATAGGGAGAAATTGCTGTCAGTGCAGTGGGAAGGAAGAATAGCTTGACCCAGCAGGTCCTTCTTTATTCTTCTGGTCTGTCCTGCCACTTTGTGGATGGTCAGCAACACGAATGTTGAGGCAGATCCATCTTCTGCAGCTATAAACAAGTTCAGCTCTTACAGTGACTTTAACAATGCTAATTCATACAAGTTGGAGATCTGGCTGGTGGGATCTCTGCTGCTACAGATCTGTACTTCTGAAATATTCTGATTATTTTCTGGTTAGTTCAGGTCACCAGAAGAAATATTACAAATACCTCTGTATAAAGGTTGACCGATGTGCAAATCAACATGGAAGACAGGAAGCAAAACAATGTGCCTGGAGATAATTCCAGAAGATAGTTTAACATAGTCCCACAGGTCTCCTGCTTGGCCCAACCCACCCACGTTCTTGGTCCCGCTTTAAATGGAGACTGGCAGGTTTTGCCTTTAGATCAGCAATGGAAAGCTCAGAGCTGACTCTGGAAGCCATTCAATTTTAGAATAGTCTCTTCTTACAAATAATACTGTAAAGAAACAACATTTGAGTAAGGCAAAATGTTTCTTGACAGAAACATGCCCATTGCCCCAAGTCATTCAGTCCCTTCAAGGCAGTAGTGACTGAAGTCTGAGTGTGACAACAGAAAGTGATGTTCTACTTTCCATAGCTGTGCTTTAGGTGACCTGCAAAATCTGCTTCTACTAGTATTTTGAGAAGCCTTTGCTCAACTTTATTGCCCAATATCCATATAGACAATTGCACACCACCTCCATACATCTCTTACAATTTCTACTGGCAAAAAAAAAAATACTATTTAGTTTGTTTGCTAAAGCTACTGGTGGCTAAAGGATATTCCACTTTTTCTTGCAGGTTGTTGGGAAGTGTAACTGGCCCACCATGTCCTGTGTGAAAAGATGATGTTTATCAACCAGAAGTGGGATGCTTCCAAAACATTTGCAAAACACCCAGGAGTCTGGAAGGTATTACAGAAGCACAAGAAATAATTTCTGCCTATCTGAGAAAGTTTAATTTTCTACAAAGAACAACAAGTAATAGAAATTAAACCAGCCTCCCTTTCAGTCATTCCAGAGAATACAGACAGAGCTCAGAGAAATGAAAGATTTTTACAAAAGCACTAACAGACCTTCTGATCTTCTTCCCCCAGCTATAATTATTCCTTCTGAATGCTGCCTGTAACCCCTAAGGGAGTGTGAAGTGCAGGGGTTGCTGATGTGGCTGAACTTTTCCATCTAGGTAAATCTCTTCTTTTTCATTGTTTAGCATCTTACCTGTGGCATAATTTATCCCTTGAGTTAAGAAGTGTCATCTATTTTGATCATTTCTATCTCACAATGTGCAGTGTCTGTTAGGCATACAGATATCTGATATTCTATTACTTTGTGTTGTCATATTCATTTGTTACAAGATATTTCATGAACCATTTAATTCTGTATTTGCAAATGTGAAAAGTGCTGAAGTAGATAAAAATGGTGCAGAGGATTTAACAGCCTAAATCTACCCCAAAAGACTCCTTGGAATGCATCAGAAATACATTCTCAAAACCAGTTGTGGTATTCTCATCAAACTAAAAACATCCCTGCTGGCAGCCATGCCAAGGATTAAGTCCTCTGCAGAGCCTGAACTCCTTACTCACCATACAGAGGATCAATTTCGCATGATCATTTTGTGGAAAAAGGATGTACGTGGAAACCTGCTAGCATTAATGTCCAGAAATGTTAAGCAAAAAATACCGTAGTAAAAAAAAAAAAAAA